AAAGTTAGACTAATTAACAGAAAAGATGTCCATCAAAGTTAGACTAATTAACAGAAAAGATGTCCATCAAAGGTAGACTAATTAACAGAAAAGATGTCCATCAAAGTTAGACTAATTGACCGAAAAGATGTCCATCAAAGGTAGACTAATTAACAGAAAAGATGTCCATCAAAGGTAGACTAAAAAACAGAAAAGATGCCCATCAAAGTTAGACTGATTAACAAGAAAGATGTCCATCAAAGTTTGACTAATTAACAAGAAAGATGTCCATCAAAGTTGGACTAATTAACAAGAAACATGTCCATCAAAATTAGACTAATTAACAAAACCGTATCAAGATTATTAAAAAAAAAATATTGTTGGGTAATGAAATAAATTTGCAAATGGAGTTCATTTTTTTCTCTCAAAGTAAATACAAAATTATTTTGATAATTCTACTTTCTGTATGATCTTAACTTCGGCAAAACCAACAGTAAACCAGAGTCATACATTGGTATTTTGAAAACTCTTTACGGGTTAAATCATAGTAAAATAGTTTAGATTTTCAGATTTCTTGTTTTTATAACTTTAACTTAGAGGCCTCGCCAAGTGCGCTTCATTTTAAAATATTTATTTTTAAAATTTACTCTCTGAAATTTGTCACAACTTAGATCAATTACGAAAAAACAACACAATTCTCAACTTTCAAAATTATAAAATATTATTATAACACAACTTATTTAAAAATAAATAAGAAATTGCTTTAAAAAGTGCCTGTGTTACTCTTCACCTTATTCAAAATTCGTACTTCGAGAACAGTTTTAGCACTCCAACCAAGAAAGTATTAGTTATGGTTCCATAAGCATAGACACCTGAAACAAGTTAGATCAAATTTTATGATTTATTTAATAAGTGTTTTTGTAAATAATTTAGAAATGAATTTCTAAGATATAAATAGCCATTAACTTGATGTTAAAGATCTTTATATACTTTACTAATAATAATTTCTATTTGACAAAACATTTTTTTTGGAGCTAGATCTTCAATCTTTCAAATTATTACAGTATCTCATTTCATAATGTAATCGATGGTCGGAAATCAACTGAATTTTATTTCCTATAGCCAAACCATATCAACCACTAAAATAACTGACAAGCGTGCATCGTTATAGTATTGAAGATATGAGCAACAATAGGTTATTCCTAATATAGTTCAGAACGATACTTTTTCATAGCAGTTCGAAAAAATGCAAAGTATAATATCATTAATCCAATTACATAGAGCTGCTTCATTAGCATCAGAAATATGTAAATTTACCCATACGAAAAGTCCTTTAGAGCAGGGGCTCCCAAACTTCCTGAGCACAAGGACCCCCAAAACATTTCGCATCCTAACTGAGACCGCAACCCTATGAATCTATAGATACTGAGTACCTAAGTGTATTTACTACGGGTCCCCTAACACTTTCCTACGGTCCCCACTTTTCAAACTCCTGCTTTAGAGACCAAAACACACAAAAAAGCACAGGTTTCTAAGTTAGAACTATGTGTTCTAAAAACTTAAGTGCAGTAAGTTGTTAAAAATTAGTGCCATGTGCAGATGCCATTTTATAGTTGTGAACATATAACATATAACACTGATAGCAGCGGATAAATATTGACCTATTAACATAATCGTTTGTCAGCTGAAACTTATTGAAATAAAGAATATTGGAAATAAAATTCTGTCTCATCCTAAACGTTCTTCGTATCTTTAAGCTCTACCAGTACAAAAAATAATAATACTTTATTAACTTAGTTCAACTTTATCACTAAACAGAACATATAATTTTCATAATAATGCTTTTAGAAGTGACGTGTTTACAGTCGTAAAATGTTACACAACAGGAAATATTTTATCTGACAAATATAAAAACAATGCCCCAAATGTTTACTACTCAACCAAATAAAGTACAAAAAATATTTATAACTTTTAAGAGATACACTGATGCATCACGAGGAAGCATATTCGAAGCAAAGGTAACCACTGTGCAAAGATAAACAAAACATTTACACGCCCACAGTTTTGTAAATTCAAGCAATATATGGAGTATATTATAAACCATTTGGGGTAATTTAAAGATTGTCTTACATAAAATCAAACAGATTCGTTTGAACCCATTTCCTCATGCAAGATCGGATAAAGGGGATACCAGCAAACAATTAATTTTGAGAAGTCCAATCTATCAAGTTGGATATCGGCTGCTCCTAGTGGTTTATTGTGTTCAAAACCTTTTTGTCGTTCCCACACCATTACCTAGACAGAAATAAAACACAACGAAAGATTTAGCTTTAAACTATAGAATAAGTAAATAGGCTTAGATAATTTTTTTTTTCATTTTCAGATATGAAAAAGGCGCAAAATTACTTAATATTTGATTGTCTTCTCTGATTATATTGTTATAAGTTATTTATATATTCTTGCTTTGTCTATAAAATAAAATGTATCTAGTAATTTAAATAATTGTTATATTAGTCTACTCATTGATTTCTTTTTGGAAATGAATATGTTCATGGTTTTAAAGTATAAAATAACAATGATGAAACATACATTTGAAATATTATTTTGAGGTAATTCATAAAGGTCAGATTGTATGATTTAATATTAATAATTTCGAAATAAGAAAATATATAATGCGCTGTTTCGTATTCTACTCTACTTTATAAAATAATTCGCAGACTCTATGTTATGTTATTTAAAATAAATATGAAATAATTTGCATAATTTTATTTTAGTACTTTATTTTATTACAGTGTGATTGTAGAATAAACTATAAACTGTTTTTTCTTCTATTGTTTAAAACGAAATGACATTAAACAATTTTTATGGTTCGAATATTAATTATACGTCGTTTTTGTTTTAGTGCAATCAGACATTGGACTATCTACACGGGGATAGAGCCAAGAAATTTAGAATTATAAGTTTTGAAGCTTACGTTCAGCTACTGGGGGAGATTTGAATTATGTAATGCTTCTATATTTAATTTGCAAACATTCTGTTTTAAAGCAATTAATAGACTTCTAGTTTTAAATCATTTTAATGATCACATGAAAAAAAAGGCATAAAGTAATTTCAAATAGTATTCTAACCCTCAGCTTTAATAAAACACTATATATGTACTTCTCATTTATCTGTAATGAATATTAGTTAGGAAAATCAACGTATTTTTTTGCTTCTACTATCCAAGAATAACAAAATATGAACAATTATATTGTGTTGTTATATTAGAAATAACTATGGACAGGCACAGGTGATATACACACACAAGAGTTAGAAACAACGAGTAATGGTCAACTTATTATTACAACACCTTATTACAGAACATTGAAAAGAAAAGTAAAAATAATATGAAAAATGCACTAGCATTTTGTATTTGTTTTAAAAATGAGCAGTCCATCTTCATGTTTTCAACCATATATTTATCCGATGGTGAAACATGGTTCAAAAGATTCTTTATTTTATGCCACAATCCAGCTAAGTTGTTTGGTTGATTTTTGGCTTCTTAGTTTCCATATAAGCCCATACAGCTTTAATAATAATCATATAGAACTATGTGCAGGCCAAATCATGGTTGTAATTGTTTCATCGGTATTTTTTTACCCCCAAGTATCGGTTAACCACAATGGCTGAATCTCTGCCAAATAGGTTTTGTTCTTGAGGGATTGACATGGTAGAGGAGAATATGCTTGAATATGTTTTCAATCATAGTACCTTAAATTTCGTATAGATGTCAAACACCATTGGCCTAAACCATGTTTCGCTGTAGATTTTGTACATTAACCAAGATATTTCTTTCTCCTATTAAACAAACCATCGTTGATTGTTGCCTAACAGTTTCAATTTGTATTTACTTGTTAAAAGCATCCTTCTCCAAAAATGTTCATTTCATTGTTTGAAATCATGAAGCTCATTTCAGCCTTTAGTTCTGATTATCTTTCCTAATCAGCTGTTTTTGATACAAATATGTATCTTAATAACCTGTACTTATATTTAGGTCAGTGAAGAGATCTCTAATGGATTGTCATGTATCACGTAAAAATCACACTCTAAACTAATTAACATCACTCCTAAAAAGTTTGAGTTTAGTACCTTAGCCACATTTATTATTACCATTAGTGGTTACATGTATAGCTCCTAATGAAACATACAATTTCACCTTCAGTAGCTAAAATGTGGGGTTTTACACATTTGACATGTGGTATATCTGTCCTGGAAGACTTGAGTGTATTCATCGCACAACATCTGTGAATAGTATGACTGCCTGAACTTCTATAGGCATTATACTGGTGTTGCACTGTCTGATTAGTTGGATGACAACCAATCGCAGCGTAAGCTAAAGACACGTGACTGTACTGTGGTGCAGTTTATTTTCACAGAATAAAGGGTTTGTTTGTTTGTTTTTAATTATGCACAAAGCTACACAAGGGCTATCTGTGCTCTGCCCACCACGGGTATCGAAACCCGGATTCTAGCGTTGTAAGTCCGCAGACATACCGCTGTGCCACTTGGGGGCAGAATAAAGGGAGAGCAATCTAGTAATATTTGCAATTTATTCAATGTTTCCATAATTATTTCCAATACCGTGTTTATATTTCAAGCTTTATAGAAAACTATTTTTAACAATACGAATAATTCT